TCTCTCTCTGTCATTTTCCTTTTCAGCCCTGTGCTTTGAAGTACTGTTAAACTGTTACCAAAAGGGTATCATGCATATCACTTTACCTCATTTCAGCACTCAGTTTTTGTCCATTGTGATCATTTCAAACTATCATTGTCAGTGGTCCCTTCTCTCTCTACCTGGACTCCCCTCCCCTTTTGTGGCGAGCTTCCTATCATAGACCAGTCCTCCTGGTCTATGTTTCTACTGACTTTGGATATTACTCACATACTGTGGATTTTAAAAAAATATTCTGCAAATAAGTGAAATCATTCTATGACTGTCCCTCTCCCTCTGACTCATTTCACTCAGCATGATACTCTCCATGTATAAGCAAACTTCATGACTTCATTTTTCCTAACAGCTGCTTCAGGTCTCCAGTGACACTCTTGCTAGTTCTCAGGGGTCTCCGCGACTGCACTCAGCAACATTTGAGGACCATAGGGACCTTGGAGATCAGAGATCAAACCAAGGTCAGCTGCATGCAAGACATGCACTTCGCCCTCTATTCTATCTCTCTGGCCTCAAGAGTGACTTTATATCCAGTATGTAAGTGAAGGATATAAAATTTCAATATATCTACCAGGAACACACATTAAAAATGATATCACTGTTGACATATCAAGCATAGAAAGACCACAACAGTGGAAAGATGTTCTAGTAAGATAAAGATAATAAAGGAAATTATTAATTTTAGAAACCAAGAGTCCTTTGAAAGGCAAAGTGTTATGGCAACAAGACGTCTAAGTCCATGCCAAGCACAGTATCTGCCAAGAGTCATTTATGTTTCATCTCTGTGGAGGCTCTTTATTTCCCTAGGACTTGGATTCACAGATGGCACATGCTGTCTTGAGCAGTGTCATTAATTGATTTAATTTATGAATGTTAATCATAGGTTTCTGAGTGCATCAAATCGATAAAGAGTGGCAAAGAGGAACTGGCCTGGCAGTGCCCTTCAGGACCTGCTTGGTTCTTGGCACTGTGAACCTGTCTGATATACACTGACACACACAATTTTTACTTTCTCCTTCCTTCCTTCCTTCCTTCCTTTCTTCCTTCCTTCCTTCCTTCCTTCCTTCCTTCCTTCCTTCCTTCCTTCTTTCCTTCCGTACCTGATGCCTTTGATAAAACTAGATCGGAAAGTCTCCACCCCAGAGAAGTATGGGTGGTATTAGTTTTTTGGGGGGTTGCTTCATAAGCAGCATCCCAGATCATTTAATTGAGATGTTCCAACAAGTGGAACCAAACCACCAACTGAGAACAGACCGATGCTCTTTTTTTCAGCTCTTGTTATGGCAGGAGAATCAGTCATGTTAGTTTTCTTTGACAGTGGTTGGAGGGAAAGATTTTCAAAAGCTAAAAAAAAATTGGAGTGGTGGAGAGTGAAGAGGAGTCCAGAGCTCTTAATGTTGGCTGGAAAAACTGGAGGTGGGTTATTAGAATTAGAGGGTATTTTATGTGATTGGTTTGGGGAACATATTTGGCTTTCTCTGGTTGGTGCTGAGTTGAAAGTAGGGTTAGAGCAAGGTTAGAAGTAGGAAACTGGTAGTCACTTGACCATGTCTTGATGGTTCTGTTCCAACTGCTGCAAGGGTTATGGTTTGACTCCCTGGGGCTTCTTAGCTGGTGCAGAATTCTATTGTGTTACACTGTCTGGCCATTTTTCATTTCTTTGGCTTGAGTCTCTGGTGCTGAGTCCCTCCTGGGCATCTTTTCTCTCATAATGTGAATTAATTGTAAACTCCACGAGACTATGAATCTCACCATTCTATTACCAGTTCCTATATCTTGCAAATGAACAAATGATGGACTTACTTACTATTTTATCCAGATTGTTTTTCTTTTCTTTTTTTTTGGCGGGGGGATGGGTGACTACACTTGGCAGTGCTCAGGGCTCTGCTCAGGAATCACTTTTGGCAATGTGTAGGGGAAAAATATACGTGGTGCTACTCATCTGTAGATCAAACCCAGGTCTGCTGCCTGCAAGGTGAGAACCCTTCCCCCAACTGCATTTATCGGTCAGGTCCCAATAAACTAATTTGAGGGGCTGGAGCAATAGCACAGCGGGTAAGGCTTTGCCTTGCATACAGCCGACCCGGGTTCGATTCCCAGCATCCCATATGGTCCCCTGAGCACCGCCAGGGGTAATTCCTGAGCGCAGAGCCAGGAGTGACCGCTGTGTATCGTTGGGTGTGACCCAAAAAGCAAAAAAATAAAATAAAATAAAATAAAAATAAACTTATTTGATACTCTCTTTGGGGTGGGGAGAGGACTTTCTAGTGTTGCACATGGTTTTTTGTGCAAATCTCTTTTTATGATTGGCTGTCACATAAAAGAACGGTTGAAGGCTTCTCCATCCAGTTACTTGACTTTCCCTGTTGTAACCTGAATCTGGGGCTGGAGTGCTCCCAGTTGTGTTAAATTGTGCTCAAGCAGCCAGTCAAGACTAAGTTGCCTAAGGGCCCCAAGTCCCCTCCTGTCCTCATCAGCTAGGGATTCTGGGAAAACCATACTGGGCAACTTCTAACACTCTGAAGGCAACGCTAAAGGCAGTCTTTCTGCTGAGTGATATCTAAGGAGGGAAAAGCATTGTGCACAAGCAAACAAACACAATCACGTACAATTTTGCAAGGAATAGGGATGAGGGAAGTAGCATATATACACACACACACACATATCCATCTTTCCTACCCCCTTACACGTATACACTTGGTTTACAGAGGATTCCCACACACAAACACACTTTAGGACACACACATGAGCACTTAGTCCAGAGAGAAAATGTACAGGGTATGTGAGAGAGGGATTCACATAAACATGCACAAACGCACACACACGCACACACACTCCAAAGAACAGACACTAAGGGGTATTTGTGGTGGAAGATGGTGTGTTTGAAAGAGATTCACACACACACACATACACACACACACACTCCAGAGAGCAGACCCATGCCCTTGCTTGTTACACACAAACACATGCACCAGAGAGCAAAGAGGGGTGGGGGATTGGGGGTGTGTAAGAGCAGCGCTCTCTCTCTCTCTCTCTCTCTCTGACGCGTGCACACGCGCGCGCACACACACACACAAACACACACACTCATATTCCAGAGAGCAGAGGCAGGTGTGTGAGAGAGCAACACACACACACACACAGCAGCAAAGAGGGGCAAGTAGGTGTGTGTGTGTGTGTGTGTGTGCGACACACTCATATTCCAGAGAGCAGAGGTGGGGGTGTGAGAGAGAGCAACACACACTGCAGAGAGCAGAGGCAGGTAGGTGTGTGTGTGTGTGTGTGACACACACTCACATTCCAGAGATCAGAGACAGGTGTGTGAGAGAGAGCAACACACACACTTCTACTCCAGGGAGCAGAGGTGGGGGTGTGAGAGAAAGCCCCTCCCCCACATACACATTCATATTCCAGAGAGCAGAGGCGTGTGTGAGAGAATGAGCGAAACATACTTATACTCCAGAGAGCAGCGGCGGGTGTGTGTGAGAGAGAGCAACACACACTGCAGAGAGGAGAGGCAGGTTATGTGTGTGTGTGTGTGTGTGTGTGTGTGTGTGTGAGCGACCCACACACTCATATTCGAGAGCAGAGGCGGATGTGTGTGTGTGAGAGAGAGGGGGAGAGAGAGAGAGAGCGCCACACACTCATACTCCAGAGAGCGGAGGCGGGTGTGTGGTGTATGTGTGAGAGGGAGCGAGTGACACACACACACACACGAGGTCCCGGGCACGCTGGGGGGTGTGGAGCGTGGGGGTTCCCGGCGGCTTCACCCGGGGAAAGCCGTCCCACCTGCTGCGGGGGCGCGTCCGGGGAGGGGCCGCCCGCCGCGCGCTCCCACCGCCCGCGCTTACCGCGAGCCGCCCCCGCCGGGGACGCGTGGGGGGCCGTTGCCGTGGAGGCGGGGAGCCGCCGGGCCACCAAAATAGGAGCCGCAGGGGGGCTGGAGCCGCACTCCGGGCAGCCTCCGCCGCGCCGCTTCCAAAGATGGTCAGAGGGTCCGGAGGCGCCCCCGCCCCCGCGCCCGCCCGCCGCTAGCCCGCGCGCCCGCCCCCCGCGCCCGCGCCCCGCGCCGCCGCCGCCGCCGCTGCCGCCCGAGGTAGGTGCCGGGCCGCCCCGCCGCCCGCGGGCACCGGCCGACCGTCCGCGAGGCCGGGGGCGGGAAGGCGAGGCCGCGCCGCCCGCCCGCCCGCCCGCCGCGGAGGAGGCGCGGACACCCGGGGGCCGGGGCCGCGCCGCTCCGGGGCCGAGCTGAGCGCGGGGCGTTCCGCGGCGCTCCGCCGCCCCCCACCACACCTGCGCGGAGCGCGGCGACCCCCCTCCCCCCACCCCGGGGCGAGGCGGCCCGACCGCCCTCCCGCAGGGTCCCCGCGCCAGGCCGCGGGGCGGGGCGCTCTTCGGGCGGGAAGGCGGCCCCGGGCCCGGCGCGCAGCGCCCACAGCCTGCGGCGGCCGCTGGGGACCGAGGCGCGGGCCGCGGTGGTGGTGGTGGGGTGTGTGTGTGTGTGGGGGGGGCGGGTGGTCCGAGCCCGCCGGCCCCACGCGGACAGGCACGAGGCGGCCCTTCTCCCAGGTGCCTTCTCGCCCGCCGGGTCGCTCTCCTCGCTTTCTTGGCATCTGCGTGGAAACGGGAGCGGGGGGGGGGGGGGGGGAGGAAGAGAGAACTGGGACCCCCCCCCCCGCCGGCCCCACCCGAGCCGGGCCCGGAGCGGGGCGACCCCCTCGAACTCTCGGTTTGCCGAGTTGGCGGGGGAGTGGGGGGAGGGGGGTCTCGTCCCGGGCACGCCGCGGAGGCGGGTGCGAGTGGGGGTGCAAGGCACCGTGGGTTCTGCAGAGGACTCTCTGGGGGCCTCGTCTTAGATGCTGAGCCACGCGGAATTTAAATTGATTGCTTTATTAATTATTCAGCCCTTCCACGGCTCCTGTTTTTTGTTTGTTTGTTTTTTTAAAATCGTAAAGGGCTGAATGTAGTCTAGCTTTGAAGCAGATCCGTTACCAATCAGTTGCCATGATTGGAGTATGTGCCATTGAGGTCCCATGCAAAATTGAAAACCTTATTGTTTCGTGTTTATTGCAGCCATGGCTCTAAAAGGACAAGAAGACTATATTTATCTTTTCAAGGATTCAGCGCATCCAGTGGATTTTCTGGATGCCTTCAGAACATTTTACTTGGATGGATTATTTACTGATATTACCCTTCAGTGTCCTTCCGGCATCATCTTCCATTGCCACCGAGCAGTTTTAGCTGCTTGCAGCAATTATTTTAAGGCAATGTTCACAGCTGACATGAAAGAAAAATTTAAAAATAAAATAAAAATCTCTGGCATCCACCATGATATTTTGGAAGCCCTGGTAAATTATGCATACACTTCCCAAATCGAAATAACTAAAAGAAATGTTCAAAGCCTGCTTGAAGCAGCTGATCTGCTCCAGTTCCTTTCGGTAAAGAAAGCTTGCGAGCAGTTTTTGGTAAGGCACCTGGATATTGATAATTGTATTGGCATGCACTCCTTTGCAGAGTTTCATGTATGCCCTGAGCTAGAGAAGGAATCCCGACGAATTCTGTGTTCAAGGTTTAAGGAAGTATGGCAACAAGAAGAATTTCTAGAAATCAACCTTGAAAAGTTTCTCTTTATCTTATCCAGAAAGAATCTCAGTGTTTGGAAAGAAGAAGCGATCATAGAGCCAGTTATTAAATGGACAGCTCATGATATAGAAAATCGAATTGAATGCCTTTATAATCTACTAAGCTATATCAATATGGATGTAGATCCAGTGTATTTAAAAACAGCTTTAAGCCTTCAAAGAAGCTGCTTACTCACTGAAAATAAGATACGCTCACTCATATACAATGCTTTGAATCCTATGCATAAGGAGATTTCCCAGAGGTCCACAGCCACAATGTATATAATTGGGGGCTATTACTGGCATCCTTTATCAGAGGTCCACATTTGGGACCCTATGACAAATGTTTGGATTCAGGGAGCAGAAATACCAGATTATACTAGGGAGAGCTATGGTGTCACATGTCTGGGACCCAACATTTATGTGACCGGGGGTTACAGGACAGATAATATCGAAGCACTTGACACGGTGTGGATCTACAACAGTGAAAATGACGAATGGACAGAAGGTTTGCCGATGCTCAATGCCAGGTATTACCACTGTGCTGTCACCTTGGGTGGCTGTGTCTATGCTCTAGGTGGTTACAGGAAAGGGGCTCCAGCCGAAGAGGCTGAGTTCTATGATCCCTTAAAAGAGAAGTGGATTCCAATTGCCAACATGATAAAAGGTGAGTACAGATTATGTCAATTCTGCATTTGTAGATGTTTCCAGTTAAGCCAGAAAAATTACTATTCTTGCATTTTTTAAAAAACTTGTGGATAATATTGTCTGTCAGGTTTACAATTTTATATCTGTATGTATCTCATTGTCAACATCCACAGAAAAATCTAGTTAAGGTCCACCACTGCACGATTGACACTTCAACCTGCTTTCTCCACCTTCAAACCTCTCCCTGCTTGGTACCTACCTTACCCTAGTCAGAATCTAAGGGTTTGGATTTTGTTTGGATTACTTTATCTGCCACAACAGTGAAATCTGTGCTGTTTGTCTTTCTCTGATTTATATCACGTGGCTTGCTTCCCTCAAGGTCCTTCCATGTTGTCACAAAGGGCTTTAGCACTCTGGAGTCTTATCTAGTGTTGTCTTTGGAGTGGCTTATGAAAATAAGTCTTTCCCAGACTATTTCAACAACAGAGTAGAACATCCCCAGCTTATCTGAACACCCAGGCCTTGCATGTATGAAGACTGGAGTTTAATCCCTGACATCAAATTTTCTGTCTCACTCTTCACTCATTGCCCCCCAAAAAGAGATTTGAGCCTTATAGGGTATAACAAATTACATACCCTCAGTAACCGAAGACAGTAACTGAAAAGCCTGGGCCTTTTGTGGTTTAAGGCTTGTTTCATCGGGTAAAGGAGAAGGGCACATTCCATACCCTCCGGCGTAGGATCCCACAGAACACTTTTGATTCCCTCTATCTGTCTGATAAACACTTAAACACTGTATTTACTGCTGTGGTCAATGCTGGGTCGGCCTATTCTTGTCTCCCAATGGGAAAGAAACTTTAAACTGGAATCCTATTAAATTACATTTATTCTTTGGTGCTGGAGAGTTGCACAAAAAAACAACTGGTAGGTTGTTACCAAATTTGTGTCATTTTACCCCAAGTGTTTCTTCCCAGGCCTCTCTGTTGCTTTTTTAATCCTAGTGAGAGTGTGGGAATTTGACCTGGCCTGGGAATCTGACCTGGTATGATCCTTGGACAACTCGCAGGAAGCAGGAAGCCAGAGAAGCAGAGGGGCCTTGTGATCAGGCGCGCTGCTGGGGGCCAAATCCAGTGTCCCACTTCCTTGCTGCTGACCAGGACGATTTTGTTTCATTTCCAGTTTTTCCCCCTGTACACTGCAGATGACAGTTTGCAGCTTAGGGTTTGGAGAGTATTCACTGAATTTGTGCACGTGAAACACTTAAAACAGAGTAATCAGTCAGTCGGTGTTAGGAATTAATTGTCAGGAGCATCCTGAGAGAAGAATACATCAGCCTTGTTATACCAGAAATATCTTTTCCAGCTCTCATTATGCCCCCAAAGTCCAGCAGTGGTTGGAAGTGGGTGTCTTAGAGCTCTGCCCCTGCCTTTACTTCCCTCCCCAGGATGATTCTGAATCTCCTGACTACAAAGGGAATAAGGTTAGTTCCAGTGATTCTACAGCTGTTATAAACATGAAGACACTGCTGCTTGCATTTCTTTTTTTTTTTATTCCTTTTTTTGGGGGGGGGGGGGAGTCATTCCCAGCAATGCACAGGAGTTACTCCTGGTTCATGCACTCAGGAATCACCCCTGGCAGTGCTCGGGGGACCATATGGGTTGCTGGGAATCGAACCAGGGTCAGCCACGTGCAAGGCAAATGTCCTACCCGCTGTGCTATTGCTCCAGTCCCTGCTTCCATTTCTTAGTTGTGAAACGAGTTTCAGGTGGCTTTGTAACCTTAAGGACTTCTTTCAGGATGGAGGTGTATGCCTGTGGGCTGGAAAGAAGCACCTAGGATGATTCTGTGGCCTTGAGTGGAGGAGAAGCCTCCTTGCCCAGAGGCCATCCCTCCCACAACCAAGTCTGAAGTGCCAAAGGCCTCTGTAGGCTCTGGGAGACTCCCTCTTGGTTCGTTTGGAGAATCCTACTTCTAGTGACCGGCCTTGTGCAGAACTTTGAGAAAGGACATGTTGTAAACTCCTTTAGAAAGGACATCTGGAGAAGGGACATTTCTCCAGTTGTTTAATTTGTCCTCATGTAGTGAAGCAACTACCTCGTTTGATACAGAGATCTTGAATTGGGTATAGTTAAATTTCAGATTCATTTCCTTTGTAGGTTTAATAATATATAGAAAAGAAATAAATATGTACTTGACTCTTTAGAAACTCCTGCCCCACTAATATAACTGCTTTGCAAATAAATTCACTTTTATTTTGGCATAGAAATGAGCAAGGGTTGAGGCTGGAGCTATATAGTACAGTGGGTAGGGTATTTGCCTTGCATGTGGCTGACCAGAGTTCAATCCCCAGCATCCCGTATGGCGGTCCCCCAGGCACCACCAGGAATAATTCCTGAGTGCAGCGCCAGGTGTAACACCTGTGCATCGCTGGGTATGATCCAAAAAGCAAAAAAAAAAAGAGCAAAGGCATTGAACTGCACACAGACAGAACACTGTTGAGTAAAAGTTGGTTGAAAGGCCAAATCTACCTTTTCAGCTAAAAAAAACTTCATCTTCCTTCCTCTCTTTTCCTCTGAGTCCCTCCTCTTCCTCCTCCTCTTCCTCCTCCTCCCACATCATTATTTCCCAGTTTTCTGGATTTTGGCTTTGGTATTTTAAGCCACACACAGTGGTACTCAGGGCTCTACACTCACAGATAACTCTTGCAGGGCTCAGGGTACCATATGGGTGCTGGGGGATAGAATCTTGGTACTATCAGCTGTACTATCTCTCCAGCCCCAGTATTTTCCAGTTTTCTGATCTCAGAACCTTAGAATAAGTTCTTGTTTGTCTCCAACTCAGTTATGGAAACCTGTCCTTTTAAACTGTGTCTCCATGCCCTTCCCTTTCAAGTCCTCGTCTGCATCTGACCTTCAATACTTGGCAGTGGAGCCGGTTTTACCTTTCTTCTTTGTAGTGCCTCCCCTTCTTTGTTAAAGAATTTAAAAAATCTGACTGACTTCATTCCAGATTTCTTAGTTGGGCATCAGGAATCTTAGCCACGTGTCTTAAGTTTTTCTCTGCCAAGTTTGATTCCCCTACAGCAACTCTAGAGGTGCTGGAATCCAACTGGGCAACCTACCCTTGGCCTTGCCTTGCCCTGTCCTTAGGATGTCACCCTCACCTTTACCTCCTAGCATCCTTCTGTGAAGGTCTAGGTTAAATTTTTTTACTTCTGCCATGAGTTCTCTAATAGAAAACAATTTTTCCTTGCTGTGAAATGCACAGTAGTTCATTTATTCCTTTCTTACAGTGCTTCCATTCCGTACTCAGTGTTCTAATTACTTGTGTGAATGTCTTACCCTCTTTTAAAAAAGTACAAGTATGGCTGGGAAGATAGCTCAAAGGGCTGAAGTACCTGTTTGGCATGCAGAAGGCTTGGATTTGGTCTGTGGCCTGACATGTTTCACAAAGTGCCACCAGGAGTGATGACTGTGGTCCTCCCAAAAGAAGCATGTATTTTTGTTGTTCTTGTCTGTTAGTACCTTACATCTGCTGTAAGACCCAATATTTACTGCAAAATGAAAGATCTCTTAAAGATGTGGTTTTTAATGAACACACAGGTGTGGGGAATGCTACTGCCTGTGTCTTACATGAAGTCATCTATGTCATTGGCGGTCACTGTGGCTACAGAGGAAGCTGCACCTATGACAAAGTCCAGAGCTACAATTCGGACATCAATGAGTGGAGCCTTATCACTTCTAGCCCACATCCAGGTAACAAAATGCTGTCGTAATTAGGACATGTTTGTGGTATAGACCATCAACATAAAAAGATGGTTAAAAAATGTACTGGAAATAGAAAATGCTAAATATATAATAGTCTAATATGGATTGTAGTTAGGAGTCTCAAAATAGTACATATTTATGTGGGGTTGGAGAGATTATACAGCATGTGGCCAACTTGGGTTTGATCCCAGGCATCCCATATGGTCCCCCAGCACCTCCAGGAGTGATTTTCTGAGCACAGAGCCAGGAGTAAGCCCTGAGTACCACTGGATGTGACCCAAAAACCAAAAAAGAAATTTAATAATAATCAGTTTATTCTGGTTACATCTACAAATGGGGCTGGAGCGATAGCACAGCGGTAGGGCATTTGCCTTGCGCGCAGCCAGCCCGGCCAAGCCGGGTTCGATTCCTCCGCCCCTCTCGGAGAGCCCGGCAAGCTACCAAGAATATTTAGCCCACACCCGTGACATATTCAACATGCCAAACACAGTAATAACAGGTCTCAAAATGGAGACGTTACTGGGTCCGCTCGAGCAAATCGATGAACAACAGGAGGACAGTGACATCTACAAATACTTGCCGTGTTATCTTTCTGTAACATACCTTTTAAGCCTCTGATTCTTTGTTGATTCTTTTCATGTGTTTCCTTTTCACTTACTTTGTTTTTTTTCATTTACTGTGTGCATAATATAAAACACAATTATTTAGAAGTAGGTAAACAGCACTAGTATATCAATAATTGAGAAGGGTACCTGTTAATTCAGATCAGGAGGTGGTTTCTTCTTTTAGAAGCATGTTCTTTCTGATTTCAATAACAGTTGAGTACTCCCTCCTACGATGTGCAGAGCCCTGTGCTGGCCTTAACATAGCAGTCATAAATGACATTTTGTCTGCCCACATGGAAAAACCTATTTCTGTGTTGTCTTTTGTCTTTGACTTGTCTCTTTGTCAGGAGCTCAGGGGAAAGCATACATTATATCTTGTTATAGTTATATCATGTGTTTAAGTTTTTTCATTAGGCGAGATTCATGTCACCATACTGCTTCAAAACATTTTCCCATATAAGATCAGCTATATAGTTCACTAGAGAGTGTAATTGAAATTCACAAAATGTGATCCATCTAGAAATAATAGTAAAGTAAGTAACTTTCTTGAGCACTTGCAATAGATTAGATATTGCAACTTGTATTCTAACTACAACTCTTAAATAGGTATTATTTGCATATTTTCCCCCATATTTTGAAATGAAAACTTAGAAAGGAGAGTAAGTTGTCTTAAGGTCTCAGAGTGGTAGACCAGGGTTCAAATTTAGACCATCTGATTGTACAACTTGTACTATAAAGTCTAAGCATTCTGCCTCACCTTCTGGGTGCAGCCCGCCTGCTTTAGTACTCTCTCCATATGTCATCTGTCTGGTCTCCTGGTTCAGTGGGTGAACAGCTGGATATGATGGTGCAACTCCATGTGCCATGGGCTAGCATAACGGACAGTTGAGCTGCTGGCTGTCCTGGCTCTGAAGACATCTTGGAATAGTTGCCCAGATGTCTTTGCCCAAACACTACCGCCTTTCTTGCTATGAGTAATGATGTTATAATGAAAAGCAGTGATAACGGCTCATAGTGAGTAACAGCTAGCTTTTATCCAATCAGTATGTGCCAGGCACTAACTATTCCAGTGAATGTATATTAGTCTGTTTAAATCTTGCAGCAATCCTGAGTTGATTGCTTCTTATTTTACAGGTCACGGAGGTGCAGAGGGAGTAAATAGGGCTGCCCAAGGTTGGTGCTGTTAGAAATTAGTTTCATAGCCAGACATAGCCAGGCTGAGACCCCATGATCTTTTTATCTTTTTTTTTAACAATTTTTATTATAACATTGTTATTTACCAAGTTGTTCATAATACAGTTGTTTCAAGCATTAACTGTTCCAACACCAATCCCGCCACCAATGTGCCCTTCCCTCCACCAGTGTCCTCCAGCTCTCTACCCACCACCCCAGCCTGCCCCTTAACAGGCACAAATAAATCTACTTCACTTTGTTTTTACAACACAAACACAAATAGAATTATCGAAGCTTAGATGAATATGAGTCAATTTGTGACAATTGCTATATCTCATAATGATGTTCCTAAAGTCTGACATTAGTGTTGGTGTTATCATGTTGACTCATTGAGCCTGGTGGTCTTCTCTGTTGTTGGTGTAAGTATTTTTTATGGGCAATTGACTTTTTTTTTTCTTTTTGGGTCACACCCTGCGATTCTCAAGGGGTTACTTCCTGGCTCTGCACTCAGGAATTACTCCTGGTGGTGCTTGGGGGACCTTCAGGGTTGCCGGGGGTTGAACTGGGATCTGCCACGTGCAAGGCAAATGCCCTCCCCGCTGTACTTATAGGCAATTGACTCTTGAGCAACATAGGTTTGAATTTCACAGGTACATACACTGTAGCACTGTCCTTCTATTGTTCATCGGTTTGCTTGAGCGGGCACCAGTAACGTCTCCATTGTGAAACTTGTTGTTACTAGTTTTGGCATATCGAATACTTCAGGGTAGCTTGCTGGGCTCTCTGAGAGGGGAGGATGAATTCAACCCAGGTCATCTGCGTGCAAGGCAAACACCCTACCCGCTATGCTGTTGCTCCAGTAGGTACATAAACATGCAGAATTTGTTTTTTCTGTCTAAGGATTCCATGCTCACAGAATTAACCACTTTCATGTGTAAATAGGTTGAATACACAGATCGGAACTTAAGAGTGCCACTATAAGTTGTACAAATATTTTCAATTGTGTGTGGGTCCCTGCCTTAGACTTCCATGTTATTTAAGAATCAATTGTATTTTGAAGTTTTGAATATTTTTTGCCTCTTGACAAGGTGTGATTTAGAAGTTATCTTCTCCCATTTCATAAATTGTCTTTTAATTTTGATGATGGTTTCTTTTATTGTTTGTTTTTGGTTTTTGTGCCACGTTTGGATGTGCTCAAATCTTACTTTTAGCTCTGTGGACAGGGATCACTGTGGAACCAAGTGTGATGCTTGGAGTTCAAACCCAGGTCACCCATGTGCCAGCAGGCATTTGACGTGCCGTACACTTTCCAGCTCTTAATGATGGTTTCTTTTGCTTAATAGAAATGTTTTAGTTTTATATAGCCCTGTTTGTTATTTTTGACCATTGGAGTTAAATCCACAAGTAACATTGCTAAGGCTGACGTTGAGAAACTTCCCACTTAATGTTTTCCTCTTTGTATTCCATAGCTTTAGGTCTTACATTCAATTCTCTAATCCTTTTTGTATTATTATTATTGTTGTTATTATTATTATTATTGTGCTTTTGGGGTCACACTCGGTGATTCCCAGTGGTTACTCCTTGCTCTGTACTCAGTAATCACTCCTGGTGGTGCTCAGGGGATCATCTGGGATGTGTGCAAGGCAAACGCCCTACCCACTGTACTGTTGCTCCAGCCTCTGTATTAATTTTTGTGATGGTATAGGTAGTAGTCTAGTTACACTCTTTTACAGGTTATCCACGTTTTCTCAGCAGCATTTATTCAGAGATGTTTCTTTCTCCATTATATGATCTTGGCTTCATTATCATAAATTAGTTTTCTATACAACGTGCATTAATTTCTGCCATCCGTTATCAGTTCCACTGATAATATGTCTTTTTTATTCCAGTACCATGATGTTGTGATTATTTTCATAGTATAATTTAAAGTTGGAGAACCTGATACCTCCTTTTTATTTGTAACAATTGGAAGTTTTTATTAAAGTTACTACATGCAGAATAGGACTAGTTGCTTTAAAAGCAACTTCTGAAAAATCACATTTATATAAAAGAAATAAAATAGGCCAACAGTTCAGAAAAAGTGACTTTTGTATTACTGCACTTGGATGAAATATACTGTTTAGAGTAAGTAGTGTAATAGATAGGCAGCATATGAAGGGACAAACACAGAGGACAGCCCCCAGACTCCTCCATTTTTTTGTCTTTTTTCTCAGCATTACTTTGACTATTTGTGGGGTATGGGGGGAGGTGTGTGTGGGGGGGTCATACGAATTTTAGAATTTATTTTTGTGCGTGCTTTTTTGGGTCACACCCAGCACAGGGCTTACTCCTGGCTCTGCACTCAGGAATTACTCCTCTTGGTGCTCGGGAGATCATACAGGATGCCAGGGATCGAACCTGGGTTGGCCGCATGCAAGGCAAATGCCTTACCTGCTGTACTATAGCTCCAGCCCTAAAATTTTAGGATTTTTTAAAATTTTACTTCTGTAAAAATAAATTTTGGTGCTCTGAGGAGGATACTTTGAATTTGCAGAACAGTTACAGGCAAAACTCTTAAGAATATTTATTCTTCCAGTCCAGATAAACACAATGTCTTGCCATTTCTTTGTGTCTTCTTCAGTTTCTTTCAGCAATACGTTATAGCTTTTGGTGTTTGGTCTTTACTTCCTTACTTAAATTTATTCCCAGATATTTTATACCCTTTGATTCAATTGTAAATTGGATTTTCCTTTTTTTTTTTTTTTTTTTTTTTTTTAGTTATGCTGGAGCAATAGCATAGCGGATAGGGCGTTTGCCTTGCACGTGGCCGACACGGCCGACCCAAGTTCGATTCCTCCGCCCCTCTCAGAGAGCCCGGCAAGTTCGATTCCTCCACCCCTCTCAGAGAGCCCGGCAAGCTACCGAGAGTATCTCACCCGCAAGGCAAAGCCTGGCAAGCTACTCGTGACATATTCGATATACCTAACACAGTAGCAAGTCTCACAGTGTTACTGGGCCCACTCGAGCAAATTGATGAACAACGGGAGGACAGTGACAGTGACAGTTTTTTAGTGTATTCTTTAAGGTTTCTTATGTATGTTATGCACAAATTGTAACTTTTACTTCTTTACAATTTGAATGCTTTTAACTGCCTTTTTCTAACTGCTCTGACATAATATACTGTCTTGAGTAACAGCGGTGAGTGGGCATCCTGTCCTTGTTCCTGACCTC